GAAGAAAATTAGTTGAATATGATTTAACTTTAATAGACAGGATAGTAATATTTTTTGTAGATTTGATAAAATTAATAATAAAGATAATATCCCAATTTTTGTTTTGAATAAGTTTGGAGGAGGGGGTATTGATTAAGTTTTTAATTGATGATATGTTATCAATATAGATGCTAACAGTAGCATTTGTTAGTAAAGCAAGTAAAAGAGGAATAATTGCTATTAATTCAGCCTGAGAAGAGTCAGGAGAAGAGTGAATGGCTGCATTAAATTTAATAGATAGGTTGTTTTCACAAACCCAGCCTATGCCAGAAAAATTTTAATATTTCTTAGTATAATATTAATTATCCTAATAAAGTTGAGGCAAGATTACCAAATTTTCAAAAAAAAAAAAAAAAATCTTAGCTTAAATCTGTCTATTTCAAAATATTGCAAAATATTTTATGTAATATTTCAATATCTTATATAATATTTTATAATCTTATATTTTGTAATATTTTATGTAATATTATATCTTTTTTATGGTTTGTAAATTATTTCATAATATTATGCTCTATTAAATTTGCTGATGAAGTAGTTAGTGTAAAACCCAAAGCAAACTACTTAAATAGATAACCAAAAATCATATGTGTAGCTAGTTGTACTCATTGTAATACTTCTAATAAAAGAATATGCCCAAAGAGATCCTTTAACAATTAAAAAAAAAGATTCAACTAATATAAGTTTCAACTACTGTAATAAACTTAGATTGCAAATTACATTTAGTTTGCATAAATAAAATTAACAGTATATTACACAAAAAAAAAAAAAAAACCAAATCACATATTATTAATAACCGTGTTATATATTAAATTCATACTCATATTGTCGCGAAATAACACCCAGGAGTGTAACTTCGAACTTTGATTTGATTCTCGAAATAACGACTATGGGCGTTATTTGCGAAAATATGGTAAGCAGCTAATTTAAATGAAGTATGCAATTCCGTATCATAAAAAATCATCGCATCAAGTAATCTCATTTCAAATGAAAATGAAGTTGTGTAGTGTAAATAGACAAGCCACTAAAAATACAAATTTTTGACTGATTGGAAACACTGGAACCTCGCTGGAATGAAATTAATAGTATCACTAGAACTCTCATTATTCCCACTGGAAGACCAGGAATTTCCATTGGAAGCAAAATTTCGCAACACTGTTTTAGAGTAAAAGTTATAATAAACAAGTATAAGGGAGTTAAATAGAAATCATTTTAATCTTTAATCCGATTTTATTCCGTGGCGACAAATAACTAATAATTGTGGCAGATCATAATGAAATCGGATTAAAATGAAACTGGGGACCTTTCTTGCTCATATTTAAAGCTTATAAAACCCACTTATACTCTTTTATTAATAAAACTAACTCCAAACCCTAACACTAACCCTAACCCTAAAAAATTTCCCCCAAAAAATTTTAAATTTTTCTAAAAAAATAGAAAAATTTCATTTTAATCCGATTCATTTTAATCTGTCACAATAATTGTTGTCACTGATGATCATGAAATCGGATGATGAGCCTAATTTAATATATGAAATTTTAGAATTTTTTATGGTGTATTATCCTAGCTTCTTTTTAGTGAAAGGTTAGAATTTAGGGTTAGAGTTGCTTAGAAAAGAGTATAAGTAGATTTCAGTAGTATTTATATTTTCAAAAGGAGACCCCAAATTTCATCATATTCGATTTCACGATCATCCGCGACAATTATTAAAAGTTTATAATTGCGGTAATTTGGTACTATACCTAAGAACCTTTTAACCCATCTTTGCTATAATTAAATTATAAATGACAACATACTTGTTCATTACCTTTAATTAGCTTCAAAAATTATTTTTCTAATAATTTATCAGAATTTATCCAGATATCAAATGAGACTTTTACGTCCAAATACACGTATATAGCATCATTGAAATTGACATATCTGTTATAATGTATAATATATTAAATTAATACGCATTTACCTTTTTTTAAAAAAAAATATTTTATAGTAATAAAATAAAGCTAATAAATTGTTAACATTATCGTTATCTTGGCCAATTATTTTTTATGTTTACTTAGATAACCAATTAATTTCACGAAGCTGGGTAAAAATATTTTTAATTAAGCTGTATTGTTATTATAAAGATAAACCAATACCAGTACCGAGTTTATTCAGTTGTTTTCTAAATTAGGTAATGGTTATGGTAACGTTAGGTAACGTTAGTACGTACCGTGCATACGTAATTCATTATATGTGCACCTATGCAACACGTGAATGCGACACGAAATTTCATTGATCTTATTGTTTAAATTATATGAGCATGGGATGATTTTGCTGTGACAAAATGACAAATATATCGGCAAAAATAAGAAAATAAAAAAATAATACTATCGCTATGCATATAAACAACTTGTGTTCTATATTATTATATTTATGTAAAATCCGATGAAAATCCCGAAACACCGAATTGGCTTAGTTATACTTACGGATAGTCGCGAAATAACGCCTAGAATGTAACTTCAAATTATTTTCTCCTGGATTTAAGTTTAATTTGGACCATTATTCGAAATAACACAGATGCACAATAAATTACGCGATATATGTGATATATGACAATGATCCAAAAAAAAAAGTTGTTTTTTTTTTTTCAGAAAAATCATCTCATCAAATAACATCTCATCGAATAGATAAAAATCAAATGGAATTGGCGTATTAATATATTAATATATTAATGGATTTAATCAATAAATACATAAAATTTTACAACTATTGCAATATTAGATATATACATTTACAATAATAGAGCTTTACCTATTCAATTAATAATATGAAAAATTATCATAGTATAAATAAATTAAATAAATAAATAAATGAATGAATTGTTAAATCTTTTCGGCCCAAAATCTATGAGTTCTAATTTGAGATTTATATTCATCAACTTCTTTTTTATAATAATCAAAAAGTGCATTATACTCTTCTAATGACAGTCCAAGATCCTCAGCAAACTTTACCTCACAAAGTTTAAAAGCAGATATAGAATTTTCAAGAGCTAATGTACCAACTTTACCACCATGTTTACCAATTGGACTATCTCGAAATTCATGATTTATATTTTTTAGTTTGTTAGAATCTTGTAGGAAAGAGGCCATCTTTTCAGGTATTCTAACGTCTACATTATGAGAACTTATTTCTTTAACGACTTTTTGATAATTAAATAATTAAAATATAATTAATTAATAATTAATTAATAATTAATTAAGAAAAATAAAAAAAAATAATTAAAAGATTAATAAACAAATTAATTAAATATAAAAATAAAAATGAATAATCAATGGAATTTTATTTACGTGCATCCATGAACCCTCTTGTAATTGGACCTTGATAACAAACTTCTACTTCCCATTCCATTATTTCGATATATCCACCCGGTTTTGTCACACGAATTAACTCTTCAATGAAGAAAAAAGATTATATGCATGTTAAATATTTTACACGAATGTAATTAAATTAAAAGAAAGGAATTATATTATATTAAGATAAATATGATTATATTAAGATAAATATGATTATTAAGATAAATATTATTATAATTTTAATTTTACAATACCTGGAATAGCATGAGTTGACCAAAGATTAAAAGGAAATGCGCAATTGAGAAATCTTATGTAAGTAAAATCAAAATGATCATCTGGAAATGGGAGTCCTTCTAGTAAATTTGCTTCTATAAAATTCACATTCTGAGGTTTAATTGTTAATGGCATTACTGGTACAATATCAACGCCTGTAAATACGCATTTTGGGAAATCAGAAGCCATTTCTAAAACCCAAGTAGCTGGTCCACACCTATAAATAATTTATTAATAAGAGTTTTTAAAAGGTTAAACGTTTATATTGTATTTAGTATAAGTGAATACATTATAAGTAACAAAATGAGTATTTTTTATAGTATTTTTTATTGTAAATAATAAAAGATTTAAACAAACCCAACATCAAGAACATGAGCATCACCTTCTTCTAAAAGATCACGTACAGGAGAAGAAAAATTCGAACACCAGATAAATCTCATCATATAATGTTGTAATTGTAATCTATCTATTTCTTGCTCATCATTTGGAAAAAAATAATAAATGTTTTCAACATTATGATATCTTCTACCATCTATAAATTTAAAATCTTCCCGAAAATTTTTTTTTATTAGTGGAGGACTACTTAAATTAATTGAACTAACTGAATGTCTGAGATTCTGAAATATGGTAGAAGATCGAAATTTAGAATAATTTATCCCCATCCTTAAAAAAACAAAAATTGAAAATTATGCGTTAGGAGGTTGAAGAAATAAAAATTTAATTTGCAGGTTAAATACTTTTCAAAGTTTATTATTTATTTTTTTTTATTTTATTTATTTTATTTTTTTTATTTTTTTTTTGTATTTAAACACATCAGTACACCACATGGAATATTTTCCGTACAATTAAATCTTTTGCCAAATTGAAAATATGTAATCCCGACGATCAAAAAAACAAACCAGTCGAGACATTAAGTGTTCAGATTTATGCAGAATAATAAAAGAATAATACTAAAGCACTATTGATAAATCTATTAACCCTTAAAATTCTATCTTATACATATCGTTCCCTTTAGGATTTTTAAAATAAAATTTGAAATTTTACTTGGGTCAAAGTGTGCAATATTGAGCGGTGATACTGTATAACCTACTTTTTTTATTAATATTATTTTAAATAGAATTCGCTAAATGAATGAAAAAAAATCAAATCACTAAAGATTACCTAAGATTATATCGGAATTTTGTTTAATCAAACGGATTTTGTGCACTATCATTCACCCTTGTTATAAGTTTATTGATAAATATATAGATGAGATTTACTCCCACATGATAAAATGGTTGTACACCAACTTAGTGCATCATATGGTTTATCAATAAACAAGTTAAATTTTAACTTAACCTTGCTTAAAATTATATTAATTCTTAGTCATCAAAAAAATAATCAATGCTATATACATTAGTACATTATAAATATATGTAATGTTAAAAAAAACACTTACACATTCATGACTATTTTTGCTATATGTTATTTATTTCGGTTTTTCTTGTTTAATTAGTGATTGGATCCGGGCGGAATCGGTGGGTCAATAGTAAGCGTCTGATCCGGCCAAAAATAAATAAATTCTGGGTCACCAGATAAAATTAGCAGAATAATTCTTGGCTGATTTGGTTAAGTTATTGATTTCGGCACAGACCGATATATGTATTATACGCCGAATGGGCAATGTAATAATTGAATATAAATATGATATTTCAACTTAGACGTAATCAACTTTATGTTAATATCGTACGTCGGAATGGAATTATTGTAGATTTAGAATCCACCTAGATTGATTCAGGATAATGTGTATTCCAAATTATTTCATCGAGTACGTTGTTTGGAATTTAAATTAATTTAAGATAGAATTTATTCATAACAGTGCATTACAAATTAATTAAATTTAAAAAAACATGACATGGAATTTTTACATCTAAAATAGTGGGATAGCAACTATTCCTACAGGGTATATTTATTTTACATTTACAGCGATTTTGTCTCATGCATTTTTGCAATTGCATTTAATACAGTATTATCTACTTGTGAAGAGGATTGCATAATAGATGCTTTTCGATGCCTATAAGCATTGAAAGAATAAAATATTTGGAATGCAATTCTTTGAATAAATTACGGGTAAAAGTGGCAAAGTGTATTGACTAATGCTTTTTTTTATCCAAGGTTATTATTCCAATTCCAAAGGTTCGAAGAATTCGATATAAAATTTCTGCATAGTGCTGCGCTAATGATTTCTTCAAGATTACAACTTCCAAGAACCAAAAAGTTAGTTCGTTATTTTTACAATGTTTTTCCGATATCTTATCAATTATATTATTATTAAATTCAAAGATAACATAACATCCTTATAAAACACTTAACTTATTTTTCTGATCTAGAAATATCCTACATTGATACTTTTTTTGATTTTCAACAGTATGCTAATTATTCTTGATAATTTCAAGCGAATTCACAAATGTATTTACCTAATGTTTTGAGAATTCATCTTGCTTCTAGAAAATTTACAAGTATTTGATATTTCGTGCTTATACAGTAATAAAAAAAATTATACCAATCATATATACCTGAATCGCAAAAAGCTTTGAGAGATCTCAAGGTCTACCAGAATATCGTTGTATCTGTTAAATCAAATCTTATATGAACTATGATTATCGTAAGGTCAATCGTTTGTTTTTGTCGAAGGTGAACCTAGTACATCTAAAACAAAATAAAAAATTTAATTAATAAATGTATCTATTAAGTATCAGGGCCATAGAAGAACTAGTCCTTCCAGAGTGTCTATGCGCGAACGCCGAGACAGCTTCCTAAAAAAGTTTTTACTAATTCCTCATCCAGAACCAGTAGTCTTTATCGACAAAAAACTTCTATTCAGGGCCATAGAAGAGCTAATGACCTTCCAGAGTGTGCTTTTGCGCAAACGCCGAAGCAGCTTCCTAAACTGTCTGATTACAGTGCTAGTGAAAAATATAACTACCTTCACAGTTTATTTTACGAAGTTCTTAGATTTTGTTCATTATTGCGTTCGTTATATGAGTTATTCATGGCGTTCGTTATATAGTTTTATCGCGTTCGTTATATGAGTCATTCAACACGTTTTCGAAAAAGAGAGTTTAAGTTATTAATTTTACTTCTTTGTGCCAGTAATACAACTAAAAAAAAGCGGGGACGTCGTTACATTTCGGGATCTACGTTTTATTGCAATAGCAATAGTAAGTTAGTGTAAAACCGGAAATTCATGTAAGCAAACTTTAAAAAAAATCCATCGACACCATTACTTTTTTAAGCATCGTGCTGTAAGAGGTAGGTCTATTAGGAATGAAAATATATTACACTGCTCAATTTTGTTTTTTTTTTTATTGCTTAAATAAATAATTATGATTTTATTTACCAGATTTGCAGGTTGTTTCTAATTTAATAAAGTCGTTTCATGTATTTTATACATATATAAAATAGTATACCGTCGCCACTGACTATAGTACCCCGGGTACTATTCAATCAAATTTTCTTGAATAGTACTAGTAGTAGCGGTAGGGGTACTTCACATAGTTTTAATATTATGTTATATAATAAGATATATATATATATATATATATATCAGTATATATCAATTTTTTATTTGACCCATGAAGTACCCAGGTCTTTTTATAGGGGTACAGATGTTAAATATATATTATAACTAGAGAATGTGTATGCGGGCGGCTCCGCCGCCCGTAATTTTGAATTTTATTATTCATGTGATTATGAAATAGGTTGGTTACATGTGACA